TCCATTATGCAAAGGAGAAAAACCAGCTTTCAGAAAACCACACCTAGGTTTTATGGACTGCTCTTTGGCTTCTTGCATAACCAGATGGGAGCGTTGGGGAAGCAGAGGCACTTGTTCCTTGAGGACCCATCAACTTTTGCTCAGTTTTCCTGCAGATCCTAGAAATCCATTCAGGGAGACTCTGCATGTAAACCTGGAAAAGCAGTAGCAGGCTGGCAGATGGACCGGAGATTGAGAGCCTCACAGGACGGAAGTCCTAGTAAGAGAAGGGCTGGGCTGAGGTACCATTAGGACCACCGGGACTGACTACCCTTTGTTTTTCTGTAGGGGAAACCATATTCGTGCATTAAAAGTCACTAAGTCAGGCAAGATCATGGAGTTGCTTACTTGTCTTTCCCTGGGTTTGTCCTTTCTTTCCTGCGTAGCCCTGTGACAGTAATAACTGTCATCATCGTTTGATTTGTTCACTTACTTATTAACTGTCTCCCAACTAGACTGTACGTCCCATGAGGAAGGGGCTGACATCAGGCTCCTACTCCGGAGCCTAGTGCGGCTCTCTGTGTATTGAAAGCTGCCAGAGCCAGGGAGCCGTGTGGTGGGGTGACACCTGCATGGGGTCGTGACCCTTGTGTGTGTAGTACATGCTGCTCGTGGGCCTCTCACTGGTGATGGGACAGGCTGGATGACTTCCATCACCCACTGGCAGAACGTGTATGAGACAGTGGTGTAGATTGCTCACAGGTAAAGCCCCCTGTCCTGGGATCCCTGGTCATCAGGAGAGAGACCCCTTTATGACCCCATCCCACACACAGTGTTCGAGTCTCCACCCCTTGTCTGTGTGCTGAGCAACAGCAGGTTGTTCTCAGGTCATGGATCAGTTTGATGTGGGTGAGGGAGATAGTTGATGATAAGTGGGCTGCAGAGTTTCTTCTTGTCCTCACTTTCCAACAGCGCATGTTTAACCTTCTCTGTGGAGGCCTTCTTTTCCCTTGAGACCTTCATCTCCTCTCTCCTGTTCTCTTTGACATTTTTTCTTCCCCTTTCCTTTAAGTTGACTGCTATATAGTATCTCAGAGGGGAATAAACCAGCCAGGCAAACAGACCTCCTTTGAAGCTTAGCGTATCATCACTGCTCCAGTATGAGGACAAGTGAGGGAGGAGGTGGGAGGGGACAGTGGGTGAGCACAGCCCCATTACTACTCTTAGCCATTATTCCTCACTCTCAGTGGGCATTCAGAGGCCTCTGAACGTGAACTGACAGACTCCTCTGCAGTGAATTATTTGCTGTTTGTGTTACATGCACACTTGGTTGAGTTCCACCAACACTGTCTAAACACCCATTCCATGCCAGACTCTGTACGCCATCATCAGGATCGGTGCACATTTGCTTTTCTCTCCTTTACAGTTGGAGGGATATTTAGAAGTCATCTAGTCTCAGGTCCTTACTAGGCAGAGGCAGAAAGTGAGGCCCTGGGTGGCAAAGTGATGAGTCAAGGCCTCAGAGCTGATGTAGAGTTTGGCTCTGCTTGGCAGCCTCTGGGGTTTGGAGATATTTATAATAACCACTGTGTACAGTCCTTGAGGGTTGGCCACATGCTGGTGCTGTGCAAAGTGCCTGCCCTCATTTAATTTTTACAGCAGGTGATGCAGAAATAGGGCTCAGAATAGTCAGGGGGTTGCCCATTGTCCCATGCATAGGATGTAGCAGAGCTGATAGGGCCCCTGGCTCTGTGTGAAGGTCGTGTCCTCGTCTGCTTTGCAGAGTCTACAGGAGCCCCAACAGAACTTGTGAGAGGCAGCTGGTTCCACATCCTCCCTCTAAAGGTAGGGAGGGACTGGCCTTTCTTTTTTTTAAAGATTTATTTTTATTTAAATCATCACCTGAGGATTTTTTTTTTTTTTTTTGTACAGACAGAGTGGGAGGGAGAGAGAGGAAGAGAGAGAGAGGGAAACATCGATGTGAAAGGGACACATCGAGTGGCTGCCACCCGCACGACCAACCAGGGCCGGGGACAAACTGCAACCGAGGTACATGCCCCTAGCGGGAACCGAACCCGGGTCTCTCTGGACCGCAGGCCGACGCTCTAACCGCTGAGCCAAACCAGCCAGGGCGGGACTGGCCTTTCTTTCGCTCTCTCTTTCTTTCATAATTTAAATTGGGGTAAAATATATGTAATATAAAATTTATCATTTTAACCATTTTTAAGCATCCAGTTCAGTAGATTAGGCAGTTCACGCTGTTGTGCACCCATCACCACCACCCACCGTCTCCAGATCTTCATTCCTCTTTCCAATCTGAAAGTGTTCGTGTTTAGCATTAAACACTAACTCCCTTTCCCCCCTCCTCCCCACCCCGCCAGACCCTGGCAACCACCACCTGCTAGATATTTGTCCTTGTGTCAGTGGCTTATTTTACTTAGCACAAGGTCCTAAGGGTTCATGCATGTTGTCACGTGTCAGAATTTTAATTCTTTTTAAGTCTAAAGAATACCTTCTTGTAAGTATATACCACATTTTGTCTACCAGTTCATCTTCGGAGGAACACTCGGGCTCTTCACTTTGTATCAGTCTGCTCATGCTCTGTTAGGGATGCTGTACTAAATACCTCAGGCTGAGCGGCTTAAGCAACAGACATTTCTTTTCTCACAGTTCTGGAGGCTGAATGTCCAAGAGCAAGGTGTTGGTAGAGTTGCTTTTTCCTGAGGCCTCTCTTCTTGGCTTGTGGATGGTCCCTTCTCATTGTTTCCTAATAGGGCCTTTCCTGCATGTGTGCTTCCCTGTTCTCTCTCTCCACCAGTCGTATTGAACCCTTATGACCTCATTGTACCTTAGTTCCCTCCTTCAAGGCCCCATCTACAAATATAGTCACTTGGGGGTTAGAGTTTTGACATGTGAATTTGGGAGAGACATAGTTCAGTCTATAACACATCTCTTGGCTATTGTGAATAACGTTGCTATAAGTATGGGTATACACATGTCTGTACCAGTCTCTGATTTTCATACTTTTGGGGTATATAATAGCCAACTGTGGAATTGCCAGATCATGTGGGAGTTCTAATTTTAATTTTTTGAGGAACCATCATACTGTTGTTGTTGTTTAGCAGCTACCCCTTTTTACATTCTCATGGCATTATTTCTTAATTTTCTGAGTAGTTTTGCTCCTCTGAGAGGTCACTCTGATTTCCAACGTCCAGCAGTAGGAAGCTAGCCTGGAATTGTGTTGTTTTTTGCCTTCCAGATGTTTGGTTACTAAATCTTTCCAGAAACCGAGTGCCCTTGTCCCTTCCGCACCTCCTGTCGGCAACCTTGGGCTCTCGTTTCCATACTTAGCTGCAGGGAAAACGTCCCAGAATGGAGGAGGAAACCGTAAAACATGGCCCGGTCTCAGTTAGATGCTTCATCTGAGCTGTGGGTCTTCAGGTGGCAGCCCTTGCGCAGGGTGAGGGGTGTGCAGGTCTGCCCCTCCTGGAGCGTGCAGAAGAGAGTCCTGGCCTGTCTAGGCACCTGCCACTTCCAGAATGGCCGAGATGTTCCTCAATAAGCAGCTGTAACACTGCTGTAGGTTCATATCGACTCCCATCAACAGAAGGGATTAGGGTATGTGTGTGGGAGTAGGTGTCATGTCGGGGGAGGGCTTGGGGTATGATTAGACGTTGGGGGTAGGTGTTTATATGATGCAAGACATGAGGGTGTGGGGGGTAGGAGTGGGGGGTGTGAATTGGGATATAAGAGTGGGAGTTGGGTATGAGGATGTGTGTGAAGGAATGAGTACGTATATGGAGTGGAGGTGAGGTATTTGGGGGTTAGAGTATATGTGTCGAGTAGAGTATGGAAATATGGGGGTTAGGCCTGAGGGTGTGGAAGACAGAGATAAAGATGTGTACAGGATAGGGATGGCTGTGTTCATGGAGTAGGATATGGAGGGAATAGGACATATGGAGGGCAGAGTGGGAGTAGGAGAGAGTGTGTGTGCGTGTGCATGTGTTGGGGGGTCATAGTAGGGAAAGGACCAATGTCTCCACTCCAGGCAGCCGTCCCTGCCAGGAGCCTGGGGGTGGAGGAGCTGGGGAGGCCTGCAGAGCCTTCCAGTTGCGGGGGAGTAGCGCCTTGCCCGGGACTCAGGCGTGACTCACTTTCACCTGGTCCGGGGAATTAATTTGCTGGGCATCTGCATCATGGCAGGGTATGTGCGTCAGTCGGTATGACTTTGTTCTTGTTAGGAGTCATGGGAGAAACTTAGGATGAGAAATGAAGGGGCTCGGGAGAGCTTGTGCGGGGAGCTATGAAAGGTAAATTACTTCTCCCTCACTGGCTGGGTCACGCTGAGGGACCCAGATCGTTTCCCTCTGCTCTGTCCTTGATCAAAGGCTGCTGCAAACATTCCACGTGAGAGAAGTAAGTTCGGAAGGCACACACACACACATGCACAGACACACACCTCCCACATACGATGTAGATACGGGAGCCCCACAGCACCTCCCAGGTGTCAGGCAGCAGTAACTCTGTGCACTGCGGTCTACTGCGGTCTTTGCAGTGCAGGGATGCTGGCTTTTGTGAATGGTAGCCTGGGAGGGGCCAATGTCATCTGCTCCTGATGTCAGCACAATGAATGAAACACTTGCAAAGCGTAAAACCCCAAGCACCCGGGAAGCAGAGACCTCCTCAGATTGGTTCTGGCTGCAGCGTCTCTTGCTGACGAAATCACTAGTCCCATGTGTCACAGATAGTCCATATACGTTAGGATTTAAATGAGGCAGAAACAGGCTGCATGTGGGCTAACGCACAGCAGACTGGCACAACCGTCTCTGCCTGAAGCAGCTGTGGCCACGACCCTCTGTCTGCCAGGCGCTGGGAAAAGCTGTTTGCAAGAGCTGCAGACCCACTCTTGTGCATTAGCCGTCTCCTCAGCTAGCCCGATGTTCTGCTTTTGCTGGCAGAATTCCTTGCTGAAGCTCCGAGCCCTCGAAACTGATCTGTGCTCTGCGTTTTTGACAAACCAGGAAGAAGCTGTTCAGGTGCATGGAGTCAAGGACCCAGCCCCAGCGCCCACCCAGAGTGTGCCTGCTGAAGGGGCTGATGCTGCAGGTAAGAGGCTGGGGGCGGGGGGTCCTTATTTGTACTCAGCAGAGTTTAGCCTTTTGCTGCTTCATCCTGAACCTGGCACCCTGTGGGAATCGGTTCCTGGCGCATCACGAAAGCTGAAGAGGTGCTTGAATTACACTGGGAAGCTGAGAGGGAGCAGGGGGAATTAAGATCTTAGTGCTGTGCATGGAGCCTTCTCTCCAGCTGGGGGTCAAGAGTCAGACTTCCAGAAATGGGTGTCAGGGAAAAGCACCCATCACAACTCCTAAGTCTCCATTTACCTACGTGGTATCCTGTGGCAAACAAGTGATATACTCATTTTATATTGCCGGACTCAGATGATCTGTGCTTGAAACTCATGAGTTTTTGAGACTCATGATATTTTTGAGGTATTGAGGGATGGGGAATTTCCACATTGCTACCTCCTTTCTTCTGTACTGTTGGGGAAGTGGAGGTGAATAGAATAGCTCATTCTGATCCTATATTGTCTTGTTCTCTCTCTCTCTCTCTCATTAATTTCTGTGTGGAAAAGTCTCAAAATTGGGTTTCATTTGTTTGTTAGTTTCTCTAGTTTTATTCCAGGGGATGATATGCTGGCTAGTAGGCAGAAGGCAAAGTGATGCTCCCAGAAAGACTTAGGAAAGAAACACTAACTTACATGAGTAGAAGTAAGGGCACAGATTGTCTTTATTAACACAAATGGGTCAGAGGTTTGCAGGCTGGTTTCTGGATAGATGTTAGAAATAGGCTTAGGTAAGCTTGCTTCACGAGATATCCCTTAACTTCAGGAACTGAAGGAGAGATTTACAGGGTGATATACCTTTAGTGATAGCACATTCAAGACATTACTATTTAAGGCAGACCCATATGGTATAAGCAGGCAAAATACTCATCTCCAGTTTTTGAATGTTTATTAATAACAGTGGTTACTAGCTACTGATTGGTAGCTACTATTATTATTGAAGACTTTCTATGATCCAGGCACTGGTCTAAAAGCATTTTATATATATTATGTCACATTCTTACACTGACCTGTGAAATAATACTATTCACAGTAGGACACTGGGGCCTAGTGTGACCCTGCTGGTAAGTGGTAGCTTTTCCCCATGGATGCAGGGGCCAGCTGGCTGTCCTTGTTGCCTGGTGAGCTTCCTTGCTTTGTTGGCCATTGTGTTTGGATGAGATGCAAGTAATACTGGGCAGGGGCCAATGTCAATCCAGTTAGGGATTTAAGTCAGGTTATTAGACAATACCCTTCTTCTTCCACCAACCCCAACAAAAAAACATATAGAGAAGACTGAAGCCAAATACAAATGAACTTTCGAGTTATCTGGTGTTTTGTATAGTACACAAGTATCTGGAAAAGAGCGTTTAATGCGACATGGATATATGTATATTTTTCCTTGTGAGTTTTATGTGTATAGGTGTCTTATTTTTTTCAAAAGGTCAAAAATAAGTTGCGCATTTTCTCATTCTAGGTGGACAGGATTTTGAACAAGCTTATTAACACTCCTTGTAAAAGGGGAATACACATGCTCATACAAAGGAGTTGTCAATATATTCCTTGTTAAGGGTCAAATGGCCGACGTGGGCAGAAGGCTCCTTACAGAGGAGGCTTGTGGGTTGGCCGCTGGATTTTCTAAAATGAAGGTGAATCTGAGAAGTCTCAGAGCCCTTCCAAGAGAGTCTATGAAAAAGATCCCCCTTCCTGTATCCCCCCTCCCTCTCCCTGCAGTAGGCAGCGACAGCTCTTACATATTTCAAAGGTAAAGCCTATCCTGATGTTTCTCATCTTTGCAGAGCTTACACATAGGAGTCTCCATGATCTAAAATGACTGCATGGGTGTTGCTATGGGGAAAGTGAAGAAGCTCCAGCCCCTATACTGGACCTTGTAATCCTTTGACATGTATTTTTCTCTAACTTTAAAATAAAACCTTTTTATATAATATGGAAACTAGATGGTCTCAGGAACCTACAGTGTCTCTTTGTTTGGCAAGGATATTGCCAAAGTCCCAGGCATTTTTTGAAAGAGACTTTCATAATATAAGTTATGGGGTGGTTTGGTTCCTAGCTTCCAAGGTACACTTATAGGAAGGCCATACATTTTCTAATCCTTGTGTAGCTCAGAATGAAGATATTCGTGTCCACAGTAGATCAGGAGTTCTTAATTCAGGGCCTGTGAATGGATATCTAGAGTTATCTTTGAATACCTTGAAACTTTAGTTGTGTGTGTGTGTGTGTGTGTGTGTATCTAAATTCCTGATGAGATTGTGATTGCACAAGATTAGCACAGATGGCCATAAGTCTATAAAAGATTGTAGTGACTTAAAATTTTCTCGTCAAGTCTAGCATCTAGCCCCGAGATTTACATGTAATTTTTAATGTCAGTAGTTAGTAACAAAGACAAAATCCAAGTGACTTTTACAGGAATACCTGGCTATAATATGCTACCAATTAACCTTTAAAAGCAAACATTCATAAATATAAATTAATGTTATTTAAATAGATTTCAAACGTATGTTAGACTTGACTAGGGCATTACTTAAGTGAAGTTTAATCTTTGCAGTGGGCATCTGAATTGATGGTCTGAGCGAAGTATTGCTAGTGTCTATGTCTTGAGATAAAAATCTTGACTTTTAATTTGGATTTATAGGTTACAAAGGTCAGTCCCACCTAGTAAAATACCTGAAATGTTCTCTGTTCTAGAAATCCAATTAAAAATAGCACTTGTAGTAAGAACACATTTTGTGGCAGTCCTGGGGGCGGGGTGCTGTGCTTTAGATAGTGTTTCTGAACCTCCCTGCACATCGTAATCACCATGAAGCTTTTCAACGTGGGATCCTCAGTCCTCGTCTCTGGAAAGTCTGGAGTGGAAGACCTGGAATTTCATAAGCTTACTCCCTAATACTTGGAACCACTATTCAAGTGAAAAGAAGTGATAGAGATGGAACTAGCTGCAAGGCAGGTTTGGGACTGTCCATAGGGTGACCAAATGTCCTGCTTTGCCCAGGACGGTTTGTTTTTTAGCACTAGAAATTCTGCATGCTGAGAAAGCCTCAGTCCCAGGCAATCCAGACAGCTAGTCACCCCACCTGTAGGCTGCAAACCACATGCAACAGTTAGGCTCAGAATTCCTCTAACTGAATCAATAGCCTCTTGGAGCTGGAGCAAATGTTTCTTCTGTGGCATTAGTAAGCACCTGTTCTGGTGGTGTGAATGGAAAATGGAATGAGGGCTGTCTTTTTAGCTGCTTGTTGTTTTCAAAGTGTGCACAAGGACTGTTGGAGGCTTCACATGACGAAGTATAGCAAGCCCTGATTTGCTTGACCACGGGTGATTGAGTTTGTAGCAAAAGCTGTATAAAGTTTGTAGCAAAACTGTCATGGGAGATAACGGAGGACTTACTACTAGAATTCATAATTCCACAGAGATACCTAATTAATTCTTTTATTCTAAAATCATGATTTTCAAATTGAACTTTCCATTTGGGCAGGAGCTTTGTGACTGACGTTGATCACTGGGGAACATTAATGTAGTCTGTCTATTTGCAGATTATACTTATTTCCATAAAGAATTCTGTGTGGTCCGTAGGTGTCTTTCTAATGTTGAGGTTGAGGCAAAACAAAGAGGACCTTCTCTCTCACATTTCAAGACACTGTCCACTTGACCAGAAGTTCCCTATTACTTGGAAGTACTTACTAAACTTACAGATGTCTGGGCTCCCCTTCTTAAAATGCAAAATTAAAATATAAAGATGAGGCCTGAAAATCTCCAGGTTTGAAAAGCTCCCCTAGTGATTCTGTGGTGCAGGGAGATTCAGGAACACTTTCTAGAACACAGTGGTCCTCCAAGGGGCTGTGAGATGTGTTCTCGCTGCAGGTGCAGTTTATATTTGGATTTCTGACATGGGAGCATCTCGGGTATCCCACTAGATGAGGTGATCATCCACATGATTTAATGTGTTATTCTGATGAACAGTCTTCGAAAGTCAGAAAGAGCTGGTCTCTATTACTTCAGCCTCAGAAGTGCACAGAATTCCAAATATCTTTGAGAAATGTTATTCATTATGTGTGTGTGTGTGTGTGTGTGTGTGTGTGGTGTGTGAGTTCTACATCTTTCTTGAAATTTTTTGTACTTTCAGTATGTACCACTGGTTGCTTTAACTAGAAAATGGCTTCTACTGGGGAAAGTAGTACTTCATCTCTTTGTCTTAAATTGGTTCCTGTAAAAGCAGTGGTTTAAAAAACAACGACGACAACAAATAACCAGGGTTGGTTTGCTCCTCCGTCGGTGGGGATATCTGGCAATATGTAGATACGCTTTTGGTGTCCCAGTTGGAGGGTGAGTGCTACTGGCATCTAGTGGGCAGAGGTCAGGAGTGCTGCTGAACACGCCACAGGGCACAGGGCTCCCCTCCCCACACGTCAGCAGAGAACCATCCGGTCCAAAATGTCGACAGTTTCAAGGTTTAGAAAACTTTAAAAGATTTTAAATGAATCACATCAGCATCAGCTAACAGTGACCTCTTCATCTGTGCCCAGCATTGTTATATGGATTTTCTCATCTCCTCTTCAAAACAATTCTGTGAAGTAGGTGCCATTATCATCCCCAGATGGACAATGAGCGAGTGAACTCGGAGAGTTAATGTGACTTGCCAAAGGTACCACAGCTACTGAGTTGTGGGGGTTGGGAGGAAAGGCAAGGAGTGGGAATTTTTCATTTTTAATTCATATGCTATTTGCCATCCAGCCTAAAAGTAAAGTCCTCATAGTTCTAATATTCTAGAATTTGAATTAAGCCCATAGCCTGTATGTTCTCAACATAACTCATGTGTTTTGGAAGTCATGTATTCTTTATCCATCCCTGACTTTGTTTTGTCAGACTGAAGAGACCTGCATTTGTAGTTGGTTAACCTGTTACAGCCCCTGTGTTCCATAGTCATTTCAGCTTCTCTGATCTAAACCATCTCTAGGACCTTGTGCCTTTCATGATGTGCATTTGT